TCTAATGTGACAAATATATTTTTGAACAATTTTCCAAAATCTGAGCTGCTGTTATTTCACCATTTTTAAATTTCTCCCAAGTATCAAATATTTCTTTTTGGACATTTAAATAGATTTTTTTCTGTAATCTCTTCAATTTCTTTTCAGAAAGCAGCTGTTGATATATTGGAATGAGATCAGCCTCTCTTTTCAGCTCATCTATCAGATTGTAAAAAGATTTGGAGTTGCCCATATTTATATTCAATCTATTGTGGAATCCCTCAACATCATTATTTGTTCTGATAGGAGATTCATATGCTGACCAAGATGATGGTGTCCACAGACTATCTTCAATCCAAGTAGCCTCAATATAGTTAACAAGATCCTCCAATTTCTGGATTGCTTTCAAATGTTGTTTTATTTTATGAAATTCATTTGGAATAACATCAGCAGGTAAGAATGGTACTGCCAATAGCTTTTTCATTTCAGTCCATTGTCCACATGGCTTTTATATTTAGCAGAATAACCCAATTCCTACAAAATCCAAAAGAAAATTAGTTTTTTAAGAAAATATTAAACACAAAAAAATTATGTACTTGAGTCCAGTGAAAGAGACAGCCTTTTACTTCGGCATCTGGATAATGCTTTTGTAAATTCTTCCAAACTGCTCTTTCAGAATCTACCAATATTTTCTTTGGTGATTTGTCAGGAATCAATTCTTTTACAGCTTGAAGAAATATTTGTAGACTTTTTTCAAAATAGTATTTAAAGTATAACTTAAATAAAAGAGAATAACAGACTTTCTTTTTTGATGTTGTCATTGCAAAAAGAAGAGGAACTTGTTTAAGCACACCATCTTTTTTCAGGAATGAGTGAATGGAAAACAGCTGTTTGAAGGGAGGATTTACAACTTTGAAAGTTCCATCTAAAAACCACAGGACACTACATCTCCATATTCTGAAGTGCTCTCCATGTCCTTTTATTGTATATGAAAAGCCATTGTGAATCATTAATGGTTATCCTTTTTGGCTTCCATTCTTGAAAATTTTAAATGCTCCATCATCATCTAAATTTGCTTAATCCATTATGTCTTCAAAAGAGCTTTCTATATGATTTTGAGCATTAAATCCATTATTAACATCTTCTTGTACTATATCAGTTGTCATACATTCCTCTTCATGATCAACTTCCATCATATTTTCATTCTCCAGAACAGAATTTAGGATTTCACAATGACTAGTTTGTATTTCTTCTTCCAATTGAAATGCAGTAACAACATTTTCTGTCATACTCTCTTCTCCCATTATTTTATCAGAAGCGCAAGCTTGGTTGTCCACCTCCATTGCAGTGTTTTTTTCAACTTCTGGTTGTTGAAAAAGAATGGAGATGTCATCATGTTTGTTCAAAACAACTTTTAATTGATGTTTGTTGATTGTTGTGCACATTGAGCAAAAACCATCTAAAACACAACTTTTAAAAGTTTAAAAAAACTAATCAAGTCTTACCTCTTAAACATTTCAAGTGAAATATTTTCTTGCATAGACTGCATATGCATTCATATTTTTTATATACTTTTCTTTGGCAAGAATAGCAAGAAGGAGGCATTTTGAAAGTGGTCTGATATAAAGTAGAACTTTCTGTGGAAATGCAATCAAAAATTTTCTGAAAAAAAATGATGACAAGAACAAAATTAGTTCTTTTTAAATATAAAATAAATAACCCTCTAATATGGCCATTATACATGTTTAAATTATCAAATTTATATAATGTTACCTAATGGTTTCAAACAGAAATAGTTTCAGTGAAATATACATTTTACAAAAGAAAACTGGTATATTATTTTAGTTGTGACATTATCACTCACAAACATTTAATTATGTGAAGGTTTTGAGCAGTTAAAAATAATATAATTAAATACTAAAAATATCTACATCATTAAATAAAACAATAAGTAGCATCTAAGTTTTTTTTTTAACATTTATTTTTATTAGTATCTATATAAAACTAGGTTTTTGGCCATTTTCTGTACTTTGTTGTATTGTAATTGTAGGAATTTCTGGTTCGTCACAACTGTAATCGTCCTTTCCAATCATTTACCAACTTGCCAAAGTACTGGTCCAAATAGAACCTTTAAAGTTCGTCCACAAATAGTCTAACAAAGGCAATTTCGGTAGAAATTGATTAACAAAACACCAGTATTTCGTCCAAAGAATATGTATTGAGTAAAATGAGCTTCTAGTTCTAAACAAGCTAGTTTAAACAACTAGCTGACGGTTAGAAAACTGAACTATCAACTGTTAATTTCGTAGGGTTTATATACTCTTTTAAGGGTTGATAGTTCACATATTTCAATGTTCACAAAAACAAAAGTAACATTTGAAGACAAAGAAAAGTTCTAAATATGGTCATGTTTTTATTGTTTTCCTCTTCTAAATAATAGTTGAATTTCGAAGGTTGGAGAGTTGCATAAGATGTAACAATTTTAGTAGGACAAGTCCAACAATCAAGAAAACATGTAGATTGTATATTTGACCGTTTTTATATTCTACCTTAATAATGATATTCAATTGATTGAGTTAGTAAATTTAGCATCAGCATATGCAGAGGAAGTATATCTGATTAATGCATGTTAAAAAGAACAGTATTGTGTATACAATACTGTTGAATAGTGAATATAATCTAACCTTAGAATTTAAGCATAATTGATAATTAATTGAACTAGTTTTAGTTCGAAATCATAAATTTATGGATTAATAAATTGTAATATTAATGCTAGGTTGCAAATAGCAAATATTCTTTATATAATTCAATAGGTTTTATTACTGCATAATGTGTATGCACTGCCCTATGCGAAACTAGGTCACTACTGCTTATCTTTATCAGTGCTATCTCATAGTACAATACTGGTTCAATACTACTTCTCTATTGTAGAATATAGCTGACGAATGTATGTGTACATTTTCAATCAGAGTTCTGGCCAACTTTTAATTAATAGTTAAAATTGTTTTATCCTTGTAAATTATTTTTTTTGGTCTAAATTTCTATAAAAAAAAGGTTATATTTACGTAATATTGAAAAAAAATTGACAAAATGATAATATTTATGAATATTATAAGCAAAATATTTTTGGTCATTTTCATCAATTTTTTCTTTATTTGGCCACACTCCATAATTATTGGAACAGTCACTTGACATCCAGTTTGGCATTTAAATAGATGTTGCAAAAAAACATTTTTTTTCTAAGTTATCTTATTCAATTAATTGTTAATTTCAATTATATTACTTTATTTTCATTATACTTTTTTAAATATGACGTGGAGTAAAGACAATAGGGAGCTTGTATTCAAGAAATACAATGAATTACAAAAACTACGAGCCACAGCATTATTATTATTCCATAATAATTTACATTAATTCGAGGTAAATTTTCCAAAGATTTCCCATAATTAAAATAAGACATTTACATATTGAACTGTTTCTCTCTCTCTTTGAGTATTTTATCCTGATCTTAACTTAGCCCTAAATAATTTTTTGAATGTTTTATCTTTGACTTACTTTTGCATAATGCAGTGTGAACCCTGTGGAAAAACCAGCTATTCCTATTTTTCTTTTCAATTAAAGGCTTAAGAGGGCGATTACATTTATAAAAACCCCTCCGCCCTCTTAAGCCTTCAATTGAAAAGAAAAATAAGTGGGTCAATGATAGCCTAAGCTAGGAATTACTACTTTAGATTATAAATAACCAATCAAAATTTCAAAATGGCGTCCAAACAATATATTTTTAATAAAGAAAAATTTGTGCAATTTGCTTAGAATGTGTGAATGTACCTGCATATGTTCAGCTGTCAGACTGTACTTTACTGTATTGTAATTGTAGAAAGTTTTGCTTCTTTAAAATAGTATTCATCTTTTGCAATCATTGACCAATTTGCCAAAGTACTCACACAAATAGAACCTTTAAAGTTTATTCCCAAATAGTCTTAAAAAATGTAATTTTTGGTAGAAATTAAAGACAAAACAATGCCAGTTTTCATTAATTTAAAAGTATATTTTGCTTTTTTGACAATTTCTTTTTCTTATCAAAATTTACAGTGTTTATTAAAAAATTAATAAAATTTTGCAAAGATTTCTTGCAAAAAAAAACACAAAATTTGAAATTTTTTTGGTATGGAATGTAATATAATTGAATGTCAAACTTGAATAAATGTAATGATTAGAAAATTAATTTTATTATTAAAAAAAATCAATAATTTATGTTATTGTATGGAACTAACTTGAAAAAATCTTATTCATGATTTCTTTGAATTTTAGCAATTTAGAATTCTTTCAACATCTAGAAATTCCTTCTTTTCAAAGATGAAAAAAAAGAGAATAGAATTCTGTTGTTTGTTTTATAGATAATAAATATTTTTTATCACAAATTTTTCCTTTAAAATAAATCTTAGTCTGTATTTTATGATTTCTAAAAACTGTAAATCTAAATTCGTCTACATATGTTTTGATAAGCACATATTCTGGAATAAATCCCCTACATAATGGATATTCTTTGGTTTGGATGACTAGAAATGCACTCTTTATAACTGATAACATGATTGCAGAGATGTATTAAAGCATGTGTTAACTTGTAGAAGTGAATTTTTGCACTGTTGACATGTTTAACATCTTGAAATTCTCTTAATTCGGCATCTGATAAGTTGTCTAAATCTGTATTTTAGCTAAGGAATTTTATGAAATGTGTGGGCTTACCAGAATTTTATTTATCAATAAAATAGGTATACAAGAATAATTATTGTTAATGGAATAAATGAGTGATTAGTAATGATTATTAAAGTTATTCACTTACTACTCTACAGTCTACATAATTCGAGTTTTATTCATAATTGTTAATCAAATAGCTATAAATAGTTATATTAATAGTTAATAGTTCATTCACTAGTTTGTCAATGATTAATTATCCAATCATCACATTTATTCTTGTTTCACATTCAAGCATATAAACTGAATTTTCATCTTTTACTAATAATTTGGAAGAGACAATATTTTCAGAATGAGAGTACTACTCTTATCAATTTTTATTTCCATGCTTCTACAATTATCCTATACAGTGTAAGTTTCTCTTCTTTTTTCTTCTTTTATCTTTTCCTGCATTGCAAATTTGTTTTCTAGGAAATATGAAGATAATACCAGATTAATTAATGATTTATTTGGAAAACGCTATGTTTCCTCTTTTCAAAATGGTAATGTTTCTTTAGGATTAAGTTTAACTGATGTCACTGAAGTTGATGGTGAACTTATAACTTTTAATGTTTGGCAAAGAATGGTAAAATATTAATTTGTAAATAAGAAATTAGGTCAAAATATCAGTAATATTTATGAAAATTATAGTCCTGGGAGGACTTTAGATTACGTTGGTCTGTTGAAGATTACAAAGTTACATCTCTACATGTACCAATCAATATGATTTGGAGTCCTGATATTATTCTATACAATCAGTAATAGATCATTATCCTATAATCAAAAAATTCTCATATATTGTTGTTTATGTTTTACTAGGGCACGTAAAGATATTAATCTTGCCGATGTTCTTGCAATTGTCAAACACAATGGAAACATTTTGTACATTTCTCCAAAACTAATAACGGTATGTTAGAAGAGGTTATAATGTCTTTTATCATCTACATTCCATCTATTTTTCAAAGGTAAGATGTCCACTGGATAAGAAAAGAGGAGAATATCATTGCAATTTCAAATATGCTTCATGGACTTATCACGGAAATCAGATAGATGTAAACTTTTATAATGATATGAAAAATATTGACTTTAGTGAATACTATGGAAAATATAGAATTATTAAAAATACTGGTAGACGTAATGTGAAACAATATGCATGTTGTGAGGAAACCTATCCAGATATCACATTTACAATTATACTGTCAAAACGTTAAAATGCTGATCTTTGGTATCTTTAATACAAAAATCACATATTGAAAAAAATTAATGATTACTTACAGAAAGAGAATGATAAAATTTTTGATTAAAAAAATGAAGACATCATAATAAATACATAATTAATCTATCACATTTATATTTAAAACTGTATTTTTCTTCTTATTCATGCATTTATACAATGAAATTTGACTCCTCTTAATAATTTTTCGAAATGAAACTTTTATCTTTTTTCTTTTTCATCTATAAGTGTTTGCCTAACAAAAAACATCACAAAATACACTGCTCAACCCTAACCTTCCTGGCCCTTTTGTCTTGAAATTTTGTTTGATGGCATAAAATCAGCTACATTTTCACTGTCTAAATTGTTAATAAAAAGTTTATTTCAAAGGAATAATTTAATCTATCATTTTGAATAAGTGAAACCTGAAATGTTCATTAAAAAACTGTGTTCTCTTTTTCATATTTGAATTACTTACAAAAAGCAAAAGCAATTATACTGCTTATTTTAAAAATTATGTCTTAAATAAAACTTAGAGG